ATTATATTATATTATATTGTATTGTATTATATTATATTATATTCTATTCTATTCTATTCTATTCTATTCTATTATATTATATTTTATTATATTATATTATATTATATTATATTATATATATGTGTGTGTGTGTCTATATATATATATATAAATATATATGTGTGTGTGTGTGCCCACATACTTCTACTTTCACCTTAAACTTCCTGCAATATCTATAGATGAAGATGACAGATAATTTTGTGATCTTCTCATGTATATTGCATCTTCTCATCATGCAATCATTTTGCAATTGACAGCAAACCCTTTGCTTGTTTTCTGTGAATCCAATCTCAAAAATTAGGCATCCAACAAAGCCTTAAATTCCAAGATTCAGGAGTCAAGATTCCTGAGCCACTTTTTTAATCCCAAGATTCAAGATTCCCCGAAACTTTTTGAACCCGAGGATTCCGGTTAAAGGTTTCCAGTCCTGGGATTTGTCTTGAAGTATTGAAATCTGAATCTTGCACTTCGATAAATTTGAGACCGACATTAACCACTGTTCACAAACATTTTGGTCAAAGTGCTCCGAGCACCAGGCCTCTGGTTACAATTGTCACTCTTGTTTAAGTGTGCACTCTCTGGCAGGAATCACTTTTTGAACAGGATGCATTGTTTAGTGCTGAATGTTCTTAACATATGGCACGCCATGGATGCCGCACTTCCGTAAAGGAATGCTCCTTTGCACATGTTCAAGTGAATCAGTTTCTCTTAAAGGCATGCGCAAAGAAAATTTCATAGTTCCTGAAAGAGCTGCTGCATCTCCTTCCATTACAATTCGGAAAGAAAGGTCAAGAACCATTGATCATGTTTAAAGAAAAACAAGTTGAAGCGGACTCTGGAAAAGAATGTTGCATGGCCTAAATGTTGCATTTGCTTGTGAAGGCTCGCCGCCTTCTTGCACTCTGCCCTGAACGAATGAATGCTGCACTGCTGCCCTACTGAGAGGAGAATGCAAATATTATAAGTCCGCCCACACCGCTTTGGCGGTGAAGGCGTGCTTATTGGGGGGAAACAGCTACACTAAATGCTCAATCACATTTGTTAATATAGCAGTCGCTATATCAGCTTTAGCTGGGGGGGGGCAAAAACGGTTTCGCACCGAGACCAGAATTAGGTGGTGTTTTCGAATTTTTCGAGGATTTTTGGGTGTCTGAGCGCAAGAAGGTATTGAAATGGAATTTTGGGTCATTTTGGTAGCTTTCCGGCAAAGGAAAAACGGCCAAAAATGAAAAAAACATTGTACATAGCAAGATTTTGCAGGGTTTTTGGATGCCAGAGCATTGAAAACACTGCAAAAACAAGTGTTTTGGACTGACGTTATAGCAAAAAACGTGTAAATTACCGTATGCTTGACTGGAAACATTACAAAAACACTGTCAAAAGCAATGTTTTGGAAGGATTTACTGCCTTTATGGCAAAAAACGTGTAAATTACCGTCTGTTTGACTGGAAACATTGGAAAAACACTGTCAAAAACAATGTTTTGGAAGGATTTCTTATATATATATATATATGTTGGAGTTGGCTACCGGCATTGGAACATGGAAAAATTGAAGAAAACACTGTAAATAGCGGTATTTTCAACGGTTGGGGAGATAAGGGAATTGGAAGCATTGTCGAACATGATGTTTTCGACCGGTTTTATGGCGACAAAAGTGTAAAGTACCGTGCTTTGAAGGAAACCATTGCAAAAACATGGAAACACATTCAAAGAACACAGGATTTGGGGGACTATCTAGGCGTCGTTGTCTAGCTATTTGAAATTCCGCAGCTTGGAGAGCCTCCAAGGGAGGAGAAAGTGAAAATTCCCTAGCTTGGGAAGCCCCCACGGGGGGGAAAAGTGAAAATTCCCTAGCTTGGGAAGCCCCCACGGGAAGAAAAAATGAAAATTCCCTAGCTTGGGGAGCCCCCACGGGGGGGGAAAGTGAAAATTCTTAGCTTGGGAAGCTTCACGGGGGAAAAGTGAAAATTCCGTCGCTTGGGAAGCGCCCACGGGGGGGAAAAGCGAAAATTCCCTAGCTTGTGAAGCCTTCACGGGGGGGAAAAGTGAAAATTCCGTCGCTTGGGAAGCCCCCACGGGGGGAAAGTGAAAATTCTTAGCTTGGGAAGCTTCACGGGGGAAAAGTGAAAATTCCGTCGCTTGGGAAGCCTCCACGGGTGGGAAAAGCGAAAATTCCCTAGCTTGGGAAGCCCCCACGCAAGGGAAAAGGGAGAATTTTCACTTTTCCCCCCCTACTAGAGGCTTCCCAAGCTAGGGAATTTTCGCTTTTCCCCCCCGTGGGGGCTTCCCAAGCGACGGAATTTTCACTTTTCCCCCGTGAAGCTTCCCAAGCTAAGAATTTTCACTTTCCCCCCCCGTGGGGGCTCCCCAAGCTAGGGAATTAAACCTGCGGTGTGGGCGGCCACCCCACGCGAAGCGGGGTGAATACTTAGAAGCGACAAATAAACAAACATACAGGCATTCAAGTAGATAGATATAGATTATCGATAGATATCGGTCAGATTAGATTGGATTGGATTGGGTGAATTCGATGTGATGCGATGTGATGCGATGTTATCATATTGATAAATATATAGTTGCTCACGACTTTATTCCTCAGCCTGAGTTTGGGTCTTTGCTCTCTGTTTGCACTGCTTTTTGCTTGTGCAAGCCTTCTCCCATGGATTCTTTTTCCCAAGGGAGGGATGGGCCTAGGGGAGTCTTGAGCAGCAGCGTCATTTCGACATTCGCAACTGCGGCTAGTTGCTCACAACTTTATTATTATTCCTCAGCCTGAACTTGGGTCTTTGCTCTCTGCTTTGCACTGCTTTTTGCTTGTGCAAGCCTTCTCCCATGGATTCTTTTTTCCCAGCTTGCCCACCAGTGCCATTTTAAAAAGGAAATACCAGGACGAAGAGGACACTTTCCCGCTTTGCAACAGCAGCCAACTTCACCTCCGCGGAAAGAAAACCGTGGCATTGACCTCTTGCAAATAGATTTCCATAGTTCTGTGGGCCAACCACCGGCCCCTGCGCTTGACGAGCTCGGTGTCCTCTGTTAGCATGAAGAGATGTGTTGCACCCCTGCCCTCAGCGACCCCAGATCCAGCATTCGTTCGTGTGCATTCCAGAAGCCCAATCGCTCCAAGCAGCTGACGGAAGCGGGTCCTCAGCAGTTGAGAGGAGTGGGGCCGCAAACGTTGACCAGGGCTGAGCTCACCAAAAGCGCAAGCAACCAATGCCACCAAATCTTCATAGTCCATGCGGCACATTTGGTGCCTAGCAGCTCGATAGCGGGTCTTCGGCTCCTGCACCTTCAAGAAAACTGCATGATGACTAAAAAAAACATCGCATGGCAGCACCAGGCCATGTCAATCCGGCACACCGCTCCCCAGCTTAGGGCGATAGCGCCTGCAACCAAAGGCCAGCCCCAAAGGATGGAGGCGCTGAGCAAGGCAAGGAGCACCTGATAGGGACATGCTGTATATGATGCTGTCCAAGTTCTTCGCGTACCCAGCTGAAAGCCAAATCCCACGCACCAGTCAGCATGCGACGCACGGTCGGCTTCACAGCTCCTACTGCGTTGATTGTCTCAGCATAGTGGTTGTAGGGACGCCCTGACTCATACAACTGCTTACCATATGCTACCAGCTGTTCTACCAGTTTCTCGGGCTCAGCATAAGCCCCCGCCAGAATTTCTTGAAGATTCAGACCTTGGTCAGAAAGCCACTTGTCAGAGCTTTCCAGCAAACGCTCTCTGTTTGTACGGGTGACCGGCTGAACCGGCCTGCCAGAAAACAACGGCCGAACATTTCTTGCAGAAGCTCTCATCTCGTCTGCACGATGTCGTGGCATCATTCCATGGCATTCAACTACCCCTATACAAAAAGGACGGCCAGGAAAACAACAACCCCTGAAGATCCATTAGAACCTTTGGGGGGGCCCTCGCCAGGAAATCCAAGTGCTGCATCAAATTCCAGGAGATGCTGGTAAAAGTCCACAGAAGGAAGAGAGCTTCGGAAACAAGGGTTCTCAATTGCCAGGGCAGCAGGAGGAAGGGAATGCAAGGCGCAAAGTCCAAGGAAGAGACAAGTCCAGCTGGCAGCCCAGCGTCTGGTCTTGGGCAATTCTGCAAGCCTGAAAAGACCTTCAAAGTCCAAAAGGTCCAGGATTGATGGGCCAGAGTGCGTTGGCCACAAGGGCACAGACCGAGTGGGGCCGTCAGACACATTCAGCCGAGTGGGGCAAAAATGAACTGCCAAGAAAATTCCAAAGGCAGGAGCTTTCTCAGAAGTGCTGATAGGGACTTTGCCGATGAACGTCCCTTTGCCAAAACACTTGCCGCCACGTTGGAATCCAAAAACAGGCATGTCCTACCTCCTCCTCTCTGTGCTGACTTCTTGACTGCCTGCAGCGCACTAGCCAACTCTAAAACGTTGATATGAGAGCTGCCAGTCCACTTCCATGACGATCCTACACTCCAGTCTGACCGCTTGAGCACCTCATTTACAAAAGTACTCTCCAAACCTCCTGACCGCAGAACACGTTCTTTGTCAAACTCATCTCTCCTCTTCAAGTGCTTTGCAAAAGTGCTGCCAATGCCCTTGCCAAACCAAGGCAGTAAACTGCTGACCCCTTTGTGAGTGAACCCTGTATGCGCACGTGTTGGTGATCTCGGGCGCATGGTCTGCAAATGCTCTGCGCCCTCATGTTGCAAACCAAGAACCGAAATTCTTTCTGAAACTCTGACCCAAAGGAGCATGAGGCCGTGAAAACTTCCTCAACATTTGGCAACGCTAGGAGCCTCCTCCACTCTTGCAACCTTGCCATCTTCGATCGCCTTGGGGTTTCAAGTAAAGCCATTGCTTCTGAAAATGCCGCCGCAAAGAGCAGAAGGAGGCAGGCAAAGGCCAATCTATTGCCAACCCATACTTTTGGAGAGCTTCGATTGAATCCTCTGGGGACAGAGTAGCGCTTGCAAGGAGGATAGGCCGCAGGAGAGAAAGTAGCGTAAGGAGGTTCAAGGGCCACAGCTTTGACTCGTCGATTCTGGATGAGAAACCACGCCCACTCTATCACCTTGAGGTCTATCATGTCATACTGTGCCGAATAGGTGATATCAATTATCGGGCCTACTGTAAAAACCAAGCTTGACCATCTCCTCTGAAATATCTCCTGGGCCACCACAAATCTCAATGAAATCGAAATACTGTGCCAGGGGCCTTAGGGCCTTTGAAGTTCTTTGAAGCTTCAAAACTTTCTACCGTGCAAAAACCTCCGTCCTCGTCAAGATACTCCTCAGCATCAAACATGCCTGCTTCTTTCAAATAAAAACGTTGCCAAGGATCAAGAGACACACTGTTCCCCTTGAAATCACCTGCAAGCCACAGGGGATGTTGAACAATTTCTGAAACCTTCGCTTCGCAGAAAGCTCCTCTCTTCATGGAAGCATCAGACGCATAAATCCACTCATGACAAGAAGCTTTGACATCTGCCACCAAAACCGGCAGCAGGACAGCTGAGAGGATCATTTCCTCAGCTGCTGAACGTGGCAAAGGCCTCAAAGTAGGATGTCATTTGATGGGATGACCTTGTACAGCTTGTTCAATACTGACATTCCACATCTACGGTAGCAGAAGGCTGAAGTCAAACCACCCAGCAGTGATGCATGCAAGGCGTCAGTTGTCTGACCAAAACGGCAGGCTTGTGCAGCAACCCGGGAAAGTGATAGCCTCTTATATGCTGGAGCTCCAACTGGCAAAACGCCCGCGCTAACGTGTGAGTGCCTTGAGTCAATCTCGGCCCCCACTACAGTTGCGACGGCTTGGTCAATCACATCCTTGCGACCTGAACCTGCTAAACCCTCCTGCTTGTAACACTTCTTGGCAATGTCAAAGTCTTGTTTTGCGGCACTGGCTGCAACATTGTCACCTTCCTTGAGCTGAGAAACTGGCACTGGGGCAATGCTGAAGAAATCATCAATGACCAGCCCTTGATAGCTAGAGGCAGGGCGCACCAAAGCTCCCATTGTCAAACAACCTTTCTCAGGAAGGGGTCCAACTGACTGGAAAAGGCCTACATGAGCCGCAATTCCAAACTCAACTCCCAAGTGATCTCCTTGCAAAACAGATCCAAAACCACCATAGACCAAAGCGTCGGGATCAAGTGGATAATCTGCTGGTCTGTGCCCATGCAAACGGTCACCAAAAACCGTACGGTCGGTCTGCTTGCGCTTCTGCGAAGCCCTCTGGACATAGTCTTGGTAGGCTCTGAACTCCAAGAACTCCCTCAAAGGCATAGCAGGCCAAACTACGTCGGCGCTCGTGACTGACCTTCAGCATGCGGTAGTAGTCAGAGCAATCAGTGACACAAGTCTTGAGGCATAGCCCTTGGGCACCACCAGCCTGCTGATCAAGGGGCCAACCAGCAAAAGCGCCGATGGACCTGGGAGCCGGCTTTCCCAAGCATTCCTCTCACGTCTATCTCCAATCTGCCGATCTGAAGTCGGATTCTTGTACGCGTTGAAGATCTTCACACGTCCTGATTCTCCTGTTGTAACATGATCTGTTGGGTGAATGACCAAAAGTCCGAAATCATCCCACTTCTTGAAAAGCTGCAGCACGGTGGAGGGCTCATCAACACCAAAATCTGGCATGCCACGCTCAAAAATAAATTGCTGGACCTCAATGAACTGGGGCTCCTGGTAAGCCATGTAGAGCTCAGGGCTCAAAAATTCAGCAGCTTCCACTGGCCTCTTCCTGGATATCTTCAGCCACTCTGGACTCAAGTTGGAGAAGGGGCCAACTGGGGCGCACCAGTGTTGTCTGCTGGAACTTGAACTCCTGCTGGGCCATTCTGACAGGGGCTTGCCGATAAGCCCAGTTCTTGAAGACGGGTCACTAGCTGCAAATTCCGTCTGCCACTCGTAGCAACCTGAATAGGCTCCGAGTGGTCACACGCCTCCAAAACAACCTGAGCCGACTGATGGCTAGAGACTGGATCTCATTCGGCTGCCTCCTGATCAAGTCCAAGTCAGGGATGTTCCGTGACCAGTAAAGGTAATTCACTGCACAATGATCACATGAAGACCTCTATTGACTGCTGCTGACCTGTTTGCTGCTCTGGACTGATCAGGGCCCACCGCTTATGGCCTAAAACAAGGCAAAGGCAGCGGGAGCAAAGCGGTAGGGGGGGGGCCATAGGCCCGTCCCTGCACAGGCTGAGGGTACAGGAATCGTCCCAAAGCTGTGCGCGAACGAAGAACCCATCTTGTGGCTGACATGCACCAAGCTGCAAAGGAAAAGGAAAATTCTGAACCCGCACTTCTCCTCGCAAAGGATCTGCAGCTTCTGTAATGAATTTGCTTGCATTGACACTGGGATTGTTGTTCCCAAAAAACACCTTCCGCACATGGTGAAAAACATGCATGCTCCTCACCTCGGAATGCATCCTCATGACTGCATTTCTCCTCTAACTGTAAAACACCTCTGGGCCTCAGATTTGCTTTGCCTCGTTCTGAGACTGATTGCTTGACCCTCCTTTGCCTCTCCCTGGTCTGCGCTTGGGCGCTGCTTTCGGCGGAGCTGTCCTGGAATCGGCTCCTGATGAGCCCTTGCCCCCGCCTCCCAAGAGCTCGGTTCTTTTTCCCCACATCTTTGTGTGGGGTTCTTGTTTTTGATTCTGTATCCCGGGCTCCGCCTTCTCCTCCGCCTCCTCCTCCGCCCTCCTCCACACTTTATCAACATACACTTTGTCACCACACACTTTGTCCACAACACTTTGTCCACACACACTTTGTCCACACACACTTTGTCACCACACACATTGTCCACAAACACTTTGTCCACAAACACTTTGTCCACACACGCTTTATCAACATACACTTTGTCACCACACACTTTGTCCACACACACACTTTGTCACCACACACTTTGTCCACACACACTTTATCAACATACACTTTGTCAACATACATTTTCTCGACAAACACTTTGTCACCACACACTTTGTCCACACACACTTTATCAACATACACTTTGTCAACATACATTTTCTCAACAAACACTTTGTCACCACATACTTTGTCACCACACAGGTTGTCCACACACACTTTATCAACGAATACTTCGTCAACACACACTTTGTCACCACATACTTTGTCACCACACAGGTTGTCCACACACACTTTATCAACGAATACTTCGTCAACACACACTTTGTCACCACACACTTTGTCACCATACACTTTGGCACAACTTGACATCCACCGTCGTTTCACGTGGCAGGCGTGGCACAAACTGACATCTGCCGTCGTTTTGCGTGGCAGGCGTGGGACAGATGCTACTAGGTGGCGCCCTTGGGCCGGGCTTGGGCGCCTGTGACGCCGCGCCACTTTGCGTGGCAGGCGTGGCACAACCTGACATCCACCGTCGTTTCACGTGGCAGGCGTGGCACAAAGTCACATCTACCGTCGTTTTGCGTGGCAGGCATGGCACAGATGGTACTGGGTGGCGCCCTTGGGCCGGGATTGGGCGCCTGTGACGCCGCGGCACTTTGCGTGGCAGGCGTGGCACAACTTGACATCCACCGTCGTTTCACGTGGCAGGCGTGGCACAAACTGACATCTGCCGTCGTTTTGCGTGGCAGGCGTGGGACAGATGCTACTGGGTGGCGCCCTTGGGCCGGGCTACTTCGTCAACACACACTTTGTCACCACATACTTTGTCACCACACAGGTTGTCCACACACACTTTATCAACGAATACTTCGTCAACACACACTTTGTCACCACACACTTTGTCACCATACACTTTGGCACAACTTGACATCCACCGTCGTTTCACGTGGCAGGCGTGGCACAAACTGACATCTGCCGTCACAAACTGACATCTGCCGTCGTTTTGCGTGGCAGGCGTGGGACAGATGCTACTAGGTGGCGCCCTTGGGCCGGGCTTGGGCGCCTGTGACGCCGCGCCACTTTGCGTGGCAGGCGTGGCACAACCTGACATCCACCGTCGTTTCACGTGGCAGGCGTGGCACAAAGTCACATCTACCGTCGTTTTGCGTGGCAGGCATGGCACAGATGGTACTGGGTGGCGCCCTTGGGCCGGGATTGGGCGCCTGTGACGCCGCGGCACTTTGCGTGGCAGGCGTGGCACAACTTGACATCCACCGTCGTTTCACGTGGCAGGCGTGGCACAAACTCACATCTGCCGTCGTTTTGCGTGGCAGGCGTGGGACAGATGCTACTGGGTGGCGCCCTTGGGCCGGGCTTGGGCGCCTGTGACGCCGCGCCACTTTGCGTGGCAGGCGTGGCACAACCTGACATCCCCCGTCGTTTCACGTGGCAGGCGTGGCACAAAGTCACATCTACCGTCGTTTTGCGTGGCAGGCATGGCACAGATGGTACTGGGTGGCGCCCTTGGGCCGGGATTGGGCGCCTGTGACGCCGCGGCTCTTTGCGTGGCAGGCGTGGCACAACTTGACATCCACCGTCGTTTCACGTGGCAGGCGTGGCACAAACTGACATCTGCCGTCGTTTTGCGTGGCAGGCGTGGGACAGATGCTACTGGGTGGCGCCCTTGGGCCGGGCTTGGGCGCCTGTGACGCCGCGCCACTTTGCGTGGCAGGCGTGGCACAACCTGACATCCACCGTCGTTTCACGTGGCAGGCGTGGCACAAACTCACATCAAACGCCGTTTTGCGTGGCAGGCATGGCACAGATGGCACTGGGTGGCGCCCTTGGGCCGGGCTTGGGCGCCTGTGACGCCGCGCCACTTTGCGTGGCAGGCGTGCGGGCCCGGTGGCACAACCACATTTCCACCGCGTTTCAGGGCAGGCGTGGTAAAAACTCACATCTACCGTCGTTTTGCGTGGCAGGCATGGCACAGATGGCACTGGGTGGCGCCCTTGGGCTGGGATTGGGCGCCTGTGACGCCGCGCCACTTTGCGTGGCATGCGTGGCACAACCTGACATCCACCGTCGTTTCACGTGGCAGGCGTGGCACAAACTCACATCAAACGCCGTTTTGCGTGGCAGGCATGGCACAGATGGCACTGGGTGGCGCCCTTGGGCCGGGCTTGGGCGCCTGTGACGCCGCGCCACTTTGCGTGGCAGGCGTGGCACAACCTGACATCCACCGTCGTTTCACGTGGCAGGCGTGGCACAAACTCACATCCACCGTCGTTTTGCGTGGCAGGCGTGGCATTTATGGTACTGGGTGGCGCCCTTGGGCCCGGATTTGGCGCCTGTGACGCCGCGGCACTCACATCTACTGTCGGTTTGCGTGGCAGGCGCGGCACAAACTCACATCCACCGTCGTTTTGCGTGGCATGCGTGGCACTGATGGCACTGGGCAAGTGAAATTAGTCATTTGCATGCAAAGATGCGGTCCTTGCTCGTGGTCGAGAGGCAGGGCTCAACTGCGCTTCAGCAACGCTGTGCAGCGCAGACATGACAGATTCTGGTTCTTGCATGCAGACTTTCATCATGTTGTTCTTGTCGTTCTGTTTTGGTCGCTTTGGCCCAACTAGAAGTTGCAGACAACGGCTCTAGCACGCATACCACTACAACACAACTACAACTAGTCAGCAAGGTAAAGATGCGGTCATAGGATCATCTCTTGTTCACATTTCGTGTGCGTGGCACAAACTCACATCCACCGTCGTTTTGCGTGGCAGGCGTGGCACTACGACGGGCAAGTGAAATTAGTCATTTGCATGCAAAGATGCGGTCCTTGCTCGTGGTGAGAGGCAGGGCTCAACTGCGCTTCAGCAACGCTGTGCAGCGCAGACATGACAGATTCTGTTTCTTGCATGCAGACTTTCATCATGTTGTTCTTGTCGTTCTGTTTTGGTTGCTTTGGCCCAACTAGAAGTTGCAGACAACGGCTCCAATCGTGCTTCGGCATGTTTGATTTTGGCATGTTTAAGTATTTTCTTCTGTCGGCCTTCTACGTGCTTCGGCATGTTTGATTTTGGCATGTTTAAGTTTGGTCATTTGCATGCAAAGATGCGGTCCTTCCGGCATGTTTCTTCTTTCTACGTGCTTCGGCATGTTTGATTTTGGCATGTTTAAGTTTGGTCATTTGCATGCAAAGATGCAGTCCTTCCGGCATGTTTCTTCTTTCCGCGTTCTTCGGCATGTTTGATTTTGGCATGTTTAAGTTTGGTCAGTTGCATGCAAAGATGCGGTCCTTCCGGCATGTTTCTTTGTTCCGCGTGCTTCGGCATGTTTGATTTTGGCATGTTTAAGTTTGGTCATTTGCATGCAAAGATGCGGTCCTTCCGGCATGTTTCTTCTTTCCGCGTTCTTCGGCATGTTTGATTTTGGCATGTTTAAGTTTGGTCATTTGCATGCAAAGATGCGGTCCTTCCGGCATGTTTCTTTGTTCCGCGTGCTTCGGCATGTTTGATTTTGGCATGTTTAATTACTTTCTTCTGTCGGCCTGCTGCATTCCACACACACACACACTTCCGGCCAGGTGCTGGTCTTGCTCGTGGTCGAGAGATGCGGTCCTTCCGGCATGTTTCTTCTTTCCCCGTTCTTCGGCATGTTTGATTTTGGCATGTTTAAGTTTGGTCATTTGCATGCAAAGATGCGGTCCTTCCGGCATGTTTCTTTGTTCCGCGTGCTTCGGCATGTTTGATTTTGGCATGTTTAATTACTTTCTTCTGTCGGCCTGCTGCATTCCACACACACACACACTTCCGGCCAGGTGCTGGTCTTGCTCGTGGTCGAGAGATGCGGTCCTTCCGGCATGTTTCTTCGTTCCGCGTGCTTCGGCATGTTTGATTTTGGCATGTTTAATTACTTTCTTCTGTCGGCCTGCTGCATTCCACACACACACACACACACTTCCGGCCAGGTGCTGGTCTTGCTCGTGGTCGAGAGGCAGGGCTCAACTGCGCTGCAGCAACGCTGTGCAACGCAGACATGACAGATGCTGTTTCTTGCATGCAAACTTGCATCATGTCGTTCTTGTCGTTCTGTTTTGGTCGCTTTGGCCCAACTAGAAGTTGCAGACACCAGCTCTAGCACGCATACCACTACAACACAACTACAACTAGTCAGTCAAGGTAAAGATGCGGTCATAGGATTATCTCTTGCTGCTCTGGTCGTTTTAGCCCAACGTGGAAAGAAACGATCGGTGCAGTGTAATTCATTCTGCTTTGGTGACCTTAGCCCAACGTGGAAAGAGGCCGCCGAAGCAGACATTGCAGAGGATAGTGCTACCACCACAAATACTACAAGTCCAACTAGTCACAGTCAACTTAGATTTGTTTCGTGCAGCTATGGCGGTGCAAAAACTTGCTAATGGTTGGCGCGCCCGCCGTAAGAAGGATGGCAAGACGTTCAACGGACCGCTGCGCGCGACTGAAGTGGCCGCAAACGAAGATGCGCGGCAAATGTAGGAAGCAGCAGCCGTCTCCAGTGAACGCTTGCAAGAAGTTTTTGATAGACTATTGGGCTCGCTTTCTGCCCCGGACGCGACCGCTGGACCGACAATTGGCGTGCTCGTGTGAAAGTCGGCCGAGCAACTGTCAATGGTCCGACACGGCAGGCCAAAGCAGCTGCCGAAGAGGATGCGCGCTTGCTTCAGCAAGCGCAGCAAACGTCGACCACAGAGGTGCAGAAAGTGGCCGAGCGTTTGCAGAAGGAGGCCGCAGATGTTCGTGGTGTGGCGAGTGTTGCCAAACATGGTGTCATCCGATGGATTGAGGCAAGGTAGTTTCCATAGCTCCTGTGGCCACATTGAAGCACTGTGCGATAGTTGATGCGAGAAGCAAATGCGTTATCCGATGAATCATAGCGGCAAAACTTCGAAAGGTGCAGCTGTGTTTGTTTCTCATGCGCTTGTCTGCACCGGTGTCGTGGGGCAGTAGTTGACAAGCCAAGAGGAACAGGAGCGTTGTAGGCTAAATTCTGCACTGCCCATGGACAGCTGTTTTGTTGCAATTTCAGCGTGATCGCATCTTCTGATACTACCTGCCAGGTACTGACCTCATCGCGTACATGGTCCACGCCGACACCCGCACTCACACACACACAGACACACACATACACACACGTACACACACACACATACACACACACACAGACAAACACCCACACACACACAGACAAACACACACACACAGACAAACACACACACACAGACAAACACACACACACACACGCACGCACGCACGCACGCACGCACACATACACGCCCACGCACACACACACACCCACACACACACACATCATCCAAACGCCAGTCGTGGGCCATCCGTTTTCGTGATGGTCTGCGCTGTACGTTTGCGGACACATAATCAATGGTCACGCATCGATTGCCCTTCGCCGCACTTCCTGGCGTGGGGCATCTTTGATCGTGGCCGCACACCACACACACATACTCGCACACACACACACACACACGCACACACACCTCACACACAAACACAACTCATCCATACACAACTTACTCACACATACTCGTCCACACATAACTTACTCCACACCAATCCTTCACCATCTCTTTTCTCTTTCTTGCTTACCCCATGCCGTCTTTGCCTTTCTTTTGTTGCTTGTTGGAAGAAGTTGACTTGTGGGGTTATCCGGTCCTTTAATTGCCACGGCCGAGTTCACTGAACATAAAAATTGGAGAATCTTCTGCGAGGAAGGCATGTGGCGCAGGTTGCCACTGCTCACACTTTGACCGCGACGAAAGAACCACAAAGAATTACAACAGTTTAAAACAACACAAATTATACTTACACATACATGGGGGCTATGAACTAATCAGCATTGGGAATGTCATCATATGAGTCATCAATCAGTGTGAGGGCTCTTTGCCACTCAGCCTCGCAATTGTCTTCATCTTTGATTTTCACTTTTTTGTCACACCGATCACCAGCGCTCAAAAAAACTCGAAAAGCTCCTGAGTTGCGGTGAATCTTGCCCTTTCTGTACCAAGTCGTGCCTGCCTTGGGCGCTGGGACTGGCGGTCGGTTTGCCTCTGTGAAAACCATTTTCTCAGCAGCTGCTTTGGCCTTTGCACTGGGTTTGGCTTTCGCCTTGGGGGATGGGGCCACAGCATCATCGCCATCACTTGCCTTTCTCTTGGACGAAGCTGCAGCTCCCTGTGCCATACTCTTGGCAGACCCTTTTGCCGGACTCTTGGCTGCTCCTTTTGCCTTACTCTTGGCTTTTGCCTTGCCTTTGCATTTTGCTTTTGCCTTTGCAGAAGGTGTCTCTTTCTGTGGCTCTGTTTCCTTGGCTTCTGCTCTTTTCATCTGTCTTTCCTGCGTGGCTGCTTGGACAGCGGCAAGCTGCTCTTCTGCTGGCACCAGTTTCACAACATCTGGCAAGGCAAGCTGCAGCTCTTGACCTTGTGAATCTTCTTGTGACTCAACTTGTGGTGTCGCAGCAGCAGGCGGTGAAGCTGCACTTGACGGAGCACTGGGTGAACGGCTTGGAGTTACCTGATTCAACTCAGCCTTGTTGCCAGCAAAGATCTTCAAGCCTGCAGGAGCGGTATCCTGCTGCTGGCTCTGACCAAGGAAGCGCATTGCCATCACTTGCATCATGTTCATGGCAGCCATCGGATCCATGCCCATAAAAGCCATAGCTTGTTGAGCCATAGCCTGTTGCATGGCATGAGGCGCAAGGCCTGGCATAGTAGGTGACTGCATCTCATGCGCAGGCTTTGGAACCAAAGCTGTTTCAGGCTTGCTCTTGTTTGAGCTTTTTCTCAAACACTCCAAAGTACCAGCACTACTGCAGGCGCTTGTCAAGGGAGGATCGTCAGCATCGTAGCAGTCTCGAATCATGATCTCTGAAGGCACCTCTGGGTAGATAATGATGTGAGCTTGTTTGCTGACATCCACCTTGGCTCTCTTTGCTTTTGACTTGTAGAGATACTTCAACTGGTTGAGCAAGTCCAAGCTCTGTTTGGCCGTGCCCAACTCCAATCCCATCTCGCCACACACCCTCGGGCGTTACGAAATTGACATGGACATGCAGGGCAAAAAAAACAAATGCTCGCAGTTTCAATCAAAAGAGCAGGGTCACCATGTGGCTCGCTCTATGTCCAGCTAGTTAACTAGCACTATTGACATGATGCGTTAATGTGGCTTTGCTGCCAAGCAACTTGAGAACGTGTCCCGCTGTGACTTCATTCGGGATGTCGAGGCCTATTCTGACCATTCTCACCGCGATGTGGTCAAGTTTGGTGTAGTTGCTGACTTGAGGGTTGCCAAGCATCACGACGTCCCGCTGAGTCAAGTATGCACCAAAATTGGACAAGGCTTGCTTCGGCCTTGTCTGGCCTTTCTTGTTGTCTAAGGGTGCCGTGACCTTGCCACTGATGGCAAGTACTATCGGGGAGATGCTGATGGCCATCTGGCCTAGTTTGTCCTTCACTTTCTCGATCAGCGCTGCCGCTTCATCTCCTGTCAGCTTCGGAAGCATCTGACACTGTCTGAGCACGGCAGCACATTGCTGCTCCAAGACCTGCGGGAAACAGTCAAGGCCTTTCTGCGCTTGCAGGAAGCGCTCTGTATCATCGAGTGCATCGCTCAGCACCTCAACAGCAGTCATGCTCAAAGCACGACCGTTGGCACTTGAGCCTGATCTGAGGACGTGCACTTGCAAGTCTTGCAGAATGTTTTGTGCGAGTTATTCGATGAGGAACAACCCTGCCCTTTAAACTGGTGTAGTTCTCCGAGCTACCAGTACTGATCGAGCTACATATGTAAAGTAGCCCTGATTCTGAAAAGTCTTGAAATGCACAGCTGAATGCATGCGTACCGGTACCATGACAAGAGAATCACAGCAATGTGCCCATGTGCAGTCAAAATCTGCCTCACTCACTGTCGGTACATTCATTGCTCAAGTGCAAGTGGAGGAGTTTCATGTCTGCTAATGCAGAATTGGCTTCCACAGAAAGCAAAGAAAAACACACATAAATGTCATGAATGCACACTCCAAAATTGAACTTCTGAAACAAAGTTGATGCCACCAATGGCATGCCACTTTCACAAAGATACTGGAGACGCATGACAGCCTCAAAAGAATTTTGTTTTTTTACCACAGGCGCATTTCGGGTCTTGAGCTACATGTCTGTCATTGAAATTTCGACATTGCGTCGGCATTGCTTCTATTCACATAGACATATCAGACCGAAGACAATGCCAACAATCAAAAAACGTTTTCAGCAGTGACAGATGTCTCTGCACTGGTTCACTTTTTAGTGTGAGCCTTCTTCACTGCCTTGCCAGCGGGCTTCTTCAACGCATTGCTCTTGGCAGCTGGCTTTGGCGCAGGTTCCGGCTCAGGTTCGTGCATGGACTTGGCAATCATCGTGGTGATCTTCATGTTGCTGCTCTTGACTTGCTTCTCCATGTACGTGAGATAGGTTGCCGAGATGTCAAGCTCAGAGTGCAGCCTCATGTTCATCAAATGATGTCGCATCTTGCCCCACAATGCTGCCATGGTCTGGTCGTCCTTGATCTGGCCACTGCCAGCCCTCAGTCAAACAAGTTGAGCAATGATAGGAAACAAAAACACCAGGGGAAAAGAAAGAAATATGACAGCATGGGCTGGGGCGTGCGTTCAACCGTCATATCATAAGTCCCCCATGATTGAGCAATGCCAGGTTTTCCTATTGATAAATGAAACCCAATGACATAACAGCAAAGCATTCGCAGCTGGGAAACAAACTGCCACTGAAGGTGTACATGAAAGTGTAGGCCATATATCCATCGACTGGCGGGGCCAAGTCCACAGTGAGCAATGGACCCCTCACAGGCTTGGCCAGCAGCACCTCCTGGGTCTTCTCCCTCATGGCCACGATGCCCTGAGCCGTTGCCTCTTCCAATCTGAATTTGAACGACGCCATTGGGGCCAACGTCAGAAAGAACCTGTGACCCAGTTGCTCATTTCCTTGGAAACAAGAAAGAACGCGTTCGTTGGCCTCAGCGCCAAGCTTGGACCAGCCGCTGCAAACCGAGAAAGCTCTTGCGAGGTCCCCAGGGCGCCTGGCCATCATCTTGTACTGCATCTTCGAGTCGGCCATGTCAGCAGCTGAAGCTTACGCGGCCAGGAAGGCGCAAAGGATCTTTGAGTTCAAACCGGATGCTACAGCAAGCGAGCCAACTCATGTGATGGCCCTGCATTCAAACTCATGCGAGTCTGAGTGACCCTGCTCTGTATGGGATTCATTAATCACCATGCATCCGATTCACATAGTTTCTACTCTTCATCAAATTCAATTCAAGATGCAAGTAGCTGTGCAACATCAAATACATTCTAATGCCATGGGTTGGAACACTCCAGAAACACCAGGGTCTGCATGGCACTCAGCCGGCCAATCTATCTCAGGGCTAAACCCAGCTCGAGAACAGTGCAGGGTCATGCTGATGCTCGCACCTGTTGGCCTTAGAATGATTGCAACGTTCATTCATAGTCTACTGTGTTTGCAAAGAACATGACATTTGTGTATTCTTTGTCGAAGAATCAATTCTAGAAGACATAGCCTTTGAAAGACTTGGGATGCAGGAGTGCACAGTTGGAAACATGTTCGTAAAGGCTTCGCCAAGTTGTCCAACCAGTCTGTCAAGTCTGTGTTTCCTTGCAACATGGTGAGTTAGTTGATGTGCACCTGTGTGAACGTACAACTTGGCATGTTTGAGATGTTTCTTTCAAACTGCTGCAGCATGGTTCCATGCAAGTATCAAATCATTCACTCATTGATTCTTCTTTTGTTTCAGATTCCCATGCATGATCACAATTTGTAGGTGTGTCCATCGCATGGTCCGTTCCTGGGATCCCACCGCGTTGAGACGTGCATCGAAACCTCAACAGCCGGCAGCAGCACGTGTGCCGGTGGGGTTGTGCGGACACAGCTGGGCCACTCAGGATTGACATATAAAGCATGCAGTAATAGGTTTGTCAAGGGGCCATACCATTCAACACCTAATTCCAATGGAATTCCAACTGCTGACCAAACTATATTTATGAAATGGTGGTCACAGACCCTCTGCATCAGCCACATGAACTGCAGATCGAACCTTTTTTTTCACTCCGGTACAGGCTCTTCGGAGAACTGTGCAAGTGCATGCATCACACGTGAATCAATTAGGTCGGCCATGATTTATGTTATTTTTTCGGGTGAAAAATGAAATTTGGTGGTCTTCAAGGGTCGATTTCATGCTTCCTGAGAACAAACTGTCCAAATTGACCAAATCACCAAAAATCGAATTTTTATCGTGGCGATAAAAACGGTGTTTGCCAGATTTAGGATTTTTATCGCCGCGATAAAAATTGGACCAAAATTAATAGATTTTTATCGTGGCGATAAAAATTTGAATTCCCAAATGTCCAATTTTTATCGTGGCGATAAAAATTTGAATTCCCAAATGTCCAATTTTTATCGTGGCGATAAAAATTTGATTTCCCAAATGTCCAATTTTTATCGTGGCGATAAAAATTTGAATTCCCAAATGTCCAATTTTTATCGCGGCGATAAAAAATTGAATTCCCAAATGTCCAATTTTTATCGTGGCGATAAAAAATTGAATTCCCAAATGTCCAATTTTTATCGTGGCGGTAAAAATTTGATTTCCCAAATGTTCATTTTTTATCATGACGATAAAAATTTGATTTCCCAAATGTAAGATTTTTTTTATCGTATTGGCACAAAATAAAATCCAATGTAGTTTGATTGATTTATGATTTGATCAATTGTTGCTTACATGAACTACAACCAATTGTTTATCACAGCCTACCATTTTGATCTGCATGTCTATTGAATTGCGGCTGGGGTCATCCAGTCACCACCATGTATTGCCTGCAAGGGAAGTGACAGAGGTTGTGAACCATTTTTAAGGGGTGTTGGCTTTTGTATGCTTGACCAGCTACTACAATGGAGAGGTGTGCTACCAACCCTGCATGTTCATGATGGCAACTGGATAACCCCCAAAGCATGGGTGGATTATGCACCCGCTTAGGCAGTAGCCTGGTGTTGTTTCGACAAGTGAGGCATGTTCCCTTTGACAAATAATCACAACTATGTGCTTGAAAAATTGTTGTAATGTTATTGCACAGGATTGACTAGAGATATTGTTCAACATGTTCTATTCTTCCAACATGCCATACTCATCTACTGAACGCCAGGATACCCCCTTTCTTCAATACACAACAATGATGTTGGACAACAGTATGAGGATTGGAACAATGTATGTGTTCTATCTCAACCGGGTGCATCCTACCCAAGTTTCGCAGCAGGCAGGCTTACGCTGCACATGAGCTGCATAAATAGCTGCTACTTTCGAGGGCAGGGTGAAATCAAATCCACATCCATCATGAATATATATATATATAGATCTAATCTGAATCTCTCCACAATGAGTGACAATTCAAACATGTTGTGGTTATTGTTTTCCAATTCCTTTAGATATTCACGATGCATATGTTTCGCATGCCCGCTGTTGGAAGGCCATCAGAAATCATCCAAGGGTGTATTAGGAAGTGCCCTGCGTAAGTGGCTAGCATTCCCTAATTTATGGGGTCCCATGCTTGCACCATGGGGTCCTAATTTATGGGGTCCCTAATTTATGGGGTCCTAATTCTTTCACTTTCCTTTTCCTTTCTGGCCTTCGACAACTGCCCGGGCCACGCTTGCTAAGTCTGACACCGCAGACATAGCCATGCTCCAGTCAGACTTGCTGCCGCCTTTGCCCTTGCTACCCTTCGTGCCGCTCCCTGGCCTTCTCGACCTTGTGCGTCCTTGCCCATACCTAGGAGAAGAGAATTAATGGAGCTGGATGCAGGGCCAAGAATGATTTTGTGAAGTGGCTCGCACAATGTTAATCATGTCAGGATGCAGGGCCAAGTGTGATCTTGCGAGATGGCTCGCACAATGTGAATCATTTCAAACAGAATGATTATGATTTGAACAATGTTTGACTGCAAGAATCCGACTCCAATGCTAACTGACAGCCAAGTTGCGGGAAGAACTCACCGTTCACTGCACGGTATCCTCCATGGCAGTACTCGCCACCCCATTGGTCGAATTGGCCTTTGCCCTTGCCTTTTTTGCCGCCACCTGAGCCACCGCCTTCGCCCTTCTGATGCCACTTGTATCGAGACCACCATGGCTTTCGTCCTGCAGATCCCTTCTTGCCACCGCGGCCTTTGCCTTTCTTCCCTTTGCCTTTTCCCCTGCCATCTTCCTCCTCCTGATCTTCTTCCTCCTGCGGAGGCTCTTCTTCCTGCTGAGGCTCCTCCTCCTCCCTATCTCCTTCATCCTCCTCCCCCGGCGCCGCGTCGGCAGCGTCCTCCACACGACCCTCCTCCTCCGCCTCCTCCTCCTCCATCTTTGACTCATCCTCCAGAGGCGGCTGGCCATCCACGTGGGTCTCCCAATCGCCATACTCCTTGGCTTCCAGCAGCTTCATAGCAGCGCCAGGCTCCTCGTACTCGTCCGGCTCCTGCTTCTGCCTCTTGGCATCCATATGCAGCAGCACGTTGGTCTTCGCCTTGATGTTCCTCAGTTCTCGCTCTTGCAGAACCGTGCCAGCATCAGGCGCCCTCTTCGATCCACTGCTCATTGCCACGGGTAACCCTAAGGTCTAGCAAGGTTGTTGGAAATGTAGTTGCAACATGATTATTTTAAGTTAAAACCTTGGTTCCAAATGTTTTTGGTGTGTGTATGTAATATGTGTTGAGTTGGTGACTACTGTCGTTGCTTTGACATGGAAAATTTGCGTTCAAGTCTCCCTCAAGACCTAACGCGCCGATCAGGTGAAACGGGTGAAAGGATGCTGTTGCTGCGCTGTTCTGATTGAAAACCTGAAATGGTGTTCAGTGATGCGCCAAGTGTTAAATAGCTGTTGGCTGCTCATGACTAATGCTTGGCATAGTCAAGTCTCTAGAGCTTGCATGAAAGTGGAATGGCATTAAGTCAAATGCGCTGCAGCACTGCAATGACGTGCCAATCGGCTTGCTGTGGGTTGAGTTAATGCCTACCGGCATGCTGTGTGGTCATGGAGTTATATGGAAAATTCACTCCGTCTTGAACCGCGGCGTAGAACGGATGGAACGATTCGTTTCATGGAAGATTCAGAACATGAAGAGATTCAAGTCAATTTGAAAAACTTCAAACCCATGGTGTGTTTGCAGAGCCTGTGCATGCATGGCCACTGCATGGTTTGAGATGCATTCGCACACATGACATGCCATTTAAAGTCCATGGTTTCGATTTGCACTTGAACATGAATGTGTTTCAGTGTTGGCCATGCATTCACCCATATCCGCAGCAAGTCCATTGGGTTCCCAGACTATAGCACTCCCCCAATGGCCAGGGTCTTGGTCTAGGCCTAGAGCGGTGCAGTGAGGTCACAAAAACTATGGTTGCTCTTGGATAAAAAATTGAATGACCAGTAGGGCGGCTGGCCCTTCATATCGTCTTGACCGTGACTCCACAGATTTTCAAAAATAATGAGGTGGTCACGAAGCATGCTTGCAGGCATATTGAATTCTGATTCAAACTCTTTTGGCATGCGTTTCACAAAAAACTCTTTTGCACCATCACGCATGAAATGCAAAATGCGATCCACCCAGCATATGTGAAGATTTCCAAGTACCAGTTCATAGTTACACACTGGTCACTCTACATACTACATCGCTGAGCTCAGTCAGAATGCTCGTCATCAAAGCGCTGACGATCAGGCTGCACTGCCTGCTGCTGAGACTCCTCAAGATCTGTGGCGTTCACCTCATCATCGTCCTGGTTTCCATAGGGAATGGTGTCTGGGAATGTCTCGGGCTCATCGATAGGGTCAACGGGTTTGTTCTTGGCCTTCGATTTGGCCGCAGTCATTCGGGCAGGGGGAGAGCCACTGATGTTGATGTGGGCTGCACGCTTCAGGCGTTTCCTGGGCGACTTCTTTGGGGATACTTTCTTCTCCTTTTTCTTTCTGGGTTGTTGCTGTCCATGCTTGACCATCGCCTTCACGTAGTGCAGGTTAGATTCATTGAGCTCTAGCCATAGCTCCTTTGACGTGACACCCCACAGTGCCTTGGCTGTTCTGGACAAAAAGAACTCGTTCTTGGTCTCAAGCTCCGGCAGCTGGATCTCCACACGGGGGTCCACCAAGCACCCATCCTCCACTCGGACCCGTTTGGGCCTGCGCTTGGGCACTGCTTGATCAGCTGGGTTGTCCTGAGATTCAGGCATCTCCATCTGCTGCCTTGCAGATTCCTCCGAAGCCCGCTTCCTCAAATCCAACAGCTGATCGAACAGCAAGGAGTTGGCAGACCGTGCCACACCTTTGGACAAGTCCATAGGCTGGCCCAGTGCGAACAAGACGAACTTCCGGTCGAACTTGCTGAGCTTGATGAAGTTGTCACCATTGCGAGTGACCACTTCGGGATACCACGTGTCCAGCTTGTGAACAATTGCCCAATGGGTTTCGAGCTTGAAACCAGGGCCGGAGTCCAGCTCAGCATCTGAAGGTGCTGCCGATGAAGCTGCATCTGCCATGAACTCGAATGGTGAAAGTTGCGAGCCAGCGTGGGCCCTGCAAAGTATGCGAGCTTGATCAAAAGCCCTGCCAGAATGATTTGTTTGAACCATGTTGAGCAACTGATGATTTGAATCTGTCATCATGCAATGATGGATGGAATCTGACATCATGCAATGAATCTCGCATGGCTTGAATCCAACAGGATGCACTGATGGCTTGAATTGTGTGTTCATCGTGCTTAATGGATTCCCTTCTCAAAGCTCTGGGTGACCCTGCGGCAGACACTGCGTTCCCCTGACACGGATTCACAACATGATTTCAGAAACCTCTTGTTCAAATCTGTGTTGAGTAAAACGATGTGGTATGATGTCGAAACAATATCAACAACATTTCAATGCAGGGCCACATGCGCTCGCCCACCAAAAAAAATAAGCCGACGTAGATCCCCAACAGCGGTTGGTTTCAAACAGTGGTCCAACTTTGCAACCCAAGACGGATTAATGATGGCAGGAACAGGATTCCATAGCCTAAGTCTCTTCGGCGATTTTTTGCCCGCCCTGCCCCGTCCCCTTTTGGACCAAAGGCAAGATGAGACATGTTCTTTAAGAAAGCGCGCATAATTGAATTTACATACATTTGGTTACAAACGAATGGCAGTATTTGCAGACCACGGTGTGTCATTAAGTGTTTACAAAATTGTGTGTGTGTGTTGGTTTGGGATTATCTTGTCGTGCTTGGACAACGTCGGTCAGTTTGCGCAAGTGATTGGTGAAACAGTTCGTTTTGGCCAAATTGTCCATCATGATTCCAGAATTAGTTTCATGTCAATACTTGGTTGTTGTGTCACAACTGTGTCTGAAGTTTCATTGTGTGTTGCTGTTTGGTCACTTAGCTTTAAAAAAATCATCTACCTGGCTTCGAGAAGCCTCACACAGGTTTGCTGCCAATATTTAGGTGTTCCAAGGCATCGAACTTAGTTGCTTGATGTGGCATGTGCTTTGGTAGATGCGACATCGGAACAGTTCAAACAGAAGATTTTACAGCAACATCAGAACAGGTCAGTCGACCGACGCTGTGCGCCCACTGAGCAAACGAACATGAATCGGCATGTGCGGAACCCGCCACAAAGCACCCAAGATTGGTTGGGGGATTTCCGGAATCCCTTGTGTTCCTGGAACCTTGTCTTCCTGGAACCCTCGTTTCCGGAACCTTGGCACAACCCACAGCGTATATTGGAACCCTGGGTTTGCGGAACCGAGACGCGCTGATTTATTGTCACGCTGTGCTCCCCCCTGTCAGCGATTGCTCGTTGACAGGGCCTATATGGTCCTGGAACCTTGGTTTCCTTGAAAATTGGTTTTCTGGGACCCTGTCCGTAGCATGAACCTTGGTACAACCCACGGCGTATATCCGACCCCTGGGTTGTTTCCGGAACCTCGGAACCTTGCCAGAACCCTGGTTCTCTGGAACCTGGGCTGGGCTTCTTGAAAATTGTTGTTCCGCAACCTTGTCCCTGTCCGGAACCTGTGGCATAATCCAGGAAGTATATCCAAACTGTGGGTCCGCATCCGCGGTGGTTCTCGGAACCTTGTCGGAACCCAGTGTTGCTGGAACCTTGCCGGAACCCTCGTTCCCCAAACTCTGGGGTTCCAGGATGTTTCAAAATTGGTGTTCCGGTGATTCCAGAACCGCTCGAAACCATGGTAAGGTTCCCGGAACCTTGTCGAAAGCCAAGTGTGCCCGGAACCTTCCTGGCGCCGAGAACTTGGGGATCCCGGAACCTTGACGTCCCGGAACCCAAAAGGTAGCCAGAACCCATTGTTCCCAGAACCTTGCTTGAAAGTCTGGTTTGCGGAACCTGGAACCTTGCCCCGAACCCTGGTTCCCGGAACCCTGAGTTCCGGAACCTTGCCCGGAACCCTGGTTCCCGGAACCGGCAGCGGTTGGTTTCAAACAGTGGTCCAACTTTGCAACCCAAGACGGATTAATGATGGCAGGAACCGGATTCCATAGCCTAAGTCTCTTCGGCGATTTTTTGCCCGCCTTGCCCCCTCCCCTTTTGGACCAAAGGCAGGATGAGACATGTTCTTTAAGAAAGCGCGCATAGTTGAATTTACATGCATTTGGTTACAAACGAATGGCAGTATTTGCAGACCACGGTGTGTCATTAAGTGTTTACAAAATTGTGTGTGTGTGTTGGTTTGGGATTATCTTGTCGTGCTTGGACAACATCGGTCAGTTTGCGCAAGTGATTGGTGAAACAGTTGGTTTTGGCCAAATTGTCCATCATGATTCCAGAATTAGTTTCATGTCAATACTTGGTTGTTGTGTCACAACTGTGTCTGAAGTTTCATTGTGTGTTGCTGTTTGGTCACTTAGCTTCAAAAAATCATCTTCCTGGCTTCGAGAAGCCTCACACAGGTTTGCTGCCAATATTTAGGTGTTCCAAGGCATCGAACTTAATTGCTTGA